CTCCTTCTCTCTTCCCCGTTGTGCTCGGTCGCGGGAAAATGCTCCGCAGTTTCCAGACAAAGTTTACTAATACTTTTTTTTCTTGATTAGTAAATTTACTATTACCTAGCAAATTCCAGAGAGAGCCCAGAGTGGGCAGTTTGAATTTTAGACATCTTCCCTGAGGAGTATTGGTATTATCGCCTGTCAACCAAGTATTTATTGATGCATTTCTTTTCTTTTCTGCATATTTCAGGCAAGAAACTTTAGCCACTTGTGCTGTAGGGGTGTCATTAATTCAGTCTTGCTGACAACAATGCTCTTACTCCGATACTAGCCTTCCCTCTCAGTTTGTTGGTTTGCTATAAATCATTGATCATTGACGAGATACGAGTCCAGTGAAGTGGCAATGTCCAGAGTTTCACTCATTGCATATTTGTATACCAAGGCACGAGTATACAATCATGTAAATCAGATTGTGTTTTTTTAATTTAATCTGGGTTTTGGGAACAAGTCTGGTATTTGTACAATAGCGGATCATTCAAGTGTGTTGGGAAGTGGAGTAAGATTTATACACAGTTCTGTTGTACTCCTGCGTTCTCCACTTACAATACTAACACTATAAGCCTATGTTTTCAATTCATAGCAGAGGTTACATTTACCTTCCGGAATGCTATTGAAAACTTTTTGTTGTTTTATTTAACTTTCCTTTGTATTTTTGTTGACAACCGACAGTAGTTCTTCACCAGAGGTATTTTTTTGTATCACAGACTTGGCCTTGCCTCTTTGACTATTCAGTTTCTGTGAACTGATTCTTGGTAATAAGTGCATGAGATGCCAGATATATTGGGAATTTTTTTTCCCAACCCCTTGAACGCCAAAGTCAACTTCTTTTGTCACCTTTGCATGTACATGAATTTTATTAAAGTGCACAAAATATTTCACCCACATTTTAAGGGAAAGATTATACAGTAGCAGTGTTAAAAGTAAAATATATTGGTATTCTGAGAGACGTGTCTATATTTTTTTAATGTACTTTCATGTTATCTGTCTTCTGTCTATGCTGTTCATATTTCAATTCCTTCCACATCAAAAAGCAGACCACGTAATTGCTCAGTCTAGAAAGTACATTCGTTTCTGGTCATTGCGCTTGTCAGTTAAAATTGCATGTTCATTTCTGATGTGGCAGAGGATATAAAAATCTATGACAACACGCATGATGTAGTAATTGTTCTTTGAGTCTTGTATATTGGTTAGCTTGTTGGATTGAATTTGTGCATACATGAACAGGTATAAATCAGAGTCGTACTATATTGATGTATACAGTTTGAAATTGGATATATGCAAATGATGTTGAATGCTATGTTACAGTATTTGCTCTATTAGTAGTGCATACGCTTACAGAAATTCCATCATTGTGTCATGACTAAAAGATGTAATATTTGAATGATCAAGTATACAATCAATGCTGTTGAAGGCTTACATGTGTTTCAATTGCACTTCTAATAGAGCAAATGGAAAATGCAGATATGCATTTCCAGTAGAAGCTTGTTTATTTGCTCTACTAGGAATGCATTTATTGTGAGCTTGATCTTCAAAATATGACTTATTTTAACCATAGACATCATTTATCAAAGTGTATTCGCTACTTAAAAATACATCAAATACAGTATTGTGAATTACATTTGTATAGGAGATGCCCAATTCATTTTGTTGATTTCAATAGTTTGAATGTGCATCTAACTATCAAATGGAAACACTATTTTTAGAAACCCTGTACATAGTACTGATGTATTATATAGCTCTTTGTCAAGTACCAGGTACCTGAATTACTGGTAAATAGAAATCTTGCTTTTACGAGATTGCAGTTGAATGTTTTTAATAATAATAATATTCTCTTTGTTTGTTGTCAGGTAATGATGGCTAACTCCAGATCATCTGGAAGCTCACGTGATATTGACCAAAGCGAAGAGTTAATGAGGCTATTTATAATCATTCCTAAGAAATCCACAGAAGATGATATCAGAGAGAAATTTGAAGGTGAATTATATGATGAGTAATTTTGTATTCTACGAGGAAATGCACCTGGCAATTATCTGAATCGTATATCGAGAATGCATATCATTTCCATCCCTTCTCAAATGTCGGCTAGCTTTAACGTGGTCTTATTGTGTATACTGTATTACGATGTTACCGATTACCTTGATGTATCTAGTGCATCATACTTTTGTGATTCTCTCTGCATTACTTGTTTCCAATGTGCAGGGGTGTCAGCTGCTGTTGCATCTCTTTCTTTTTAAATTTTATGTACGTGTGTTTTCAGTAGCACTGCAGTCTAATTTCACCAGAAACAATTAAATTTTCGCTGAAAGGAATTTTTGGTTGTTTTGTAGCGAATTTATTTTCACTAATTTTTAAATGTTAAAATGTAGAAGAATAAAGGTATAGTCGTCATCCATTCAGCTAAAAATAAATTCCAAGCGAAAAAAAAAGTATTTAGTAAAGTAAAGCTATTTACGCTCATCACTTCTATTTCTATTCTATTTTTGGGATGTGCATCGAGATAAATATGTTTTGGCTCCAGAATGTATTCCTAAAGCAATCGGTAATTGAATTTATCAGAGAAATAGAAAATTAAATAATAGTGATAAAATAAAATTCAATAGAATAAAAAAAAAAAAAATTGAATAAAATTATATAAAATAGAAAAATGTAATGGAATTCTGCCTGGGATGTGTCGTTTTTTACCTGAATGGTCACAGCATGTATAATTGATTACTCGCGTATATTATTCATTATAATTATGCATGTGCTTGCACCTGTTGAGTACAGACAGGAAATGTAACTATTTTGCTTCTATTATTTCCTCTATCTAATAAAAAAAAAGTGTACACCATAGAAAAACATGGTTTTGTCATATTGCATAGATATTTGACATGGAAATCTTACTGATGACACTTGAGCAACTACTGTAGAATACTTTATTTTCGCTTGGAATTTATTTTCGCTGAAGGGATGATTCCGTGAAAATACAATCCGGTGAATATACATTTTTTCCTATATTTTACATTAATCTCATCAAAAATCAGTGAAAATAAATTCCAAGCAAAACGCCCAAAAAGCCTTTTCAGCGAAAATAAATTCCAGCGAAAATAAAGTATTCCACAGTATTTGAAACAATATTGATGAGATTGTAGGCATACATTTGTTATAACAGTATCGACATCTAGACTTTCAGGAATTTTGAGTGCAGTCAAACCTGTGTTAACGGCCACCTGGATATAGCGGCCACCTGCCTATAGCGGTCACAACCGAACAGTCCCTACGAATTTTACATGTAAAGTACCCTGTTTACAGCGGCCACCTGCCTAACGCGGCCAACGGCCACGCTTCAGCGGCCGCAGTGATCAGTTGAACTGCATATAACGGACATAGATCCCGGATGTCTTGCGGACTACTGCCTTCCACCTCAGACAACGAATAAGCTCACAAAGGACAAAGTTAGCACGTTTTCACACCTTTCATTCAACCGATGGCTTCGGCAATTATGTTTTATTCTTGTTTATAATTCAGTTTACCACGGCAAGCACACCGTACCGATGGCTATGGAACGCCAAAAACATAATTACGAATTTGAAAGTGTCATGCTGTCATTAATGTTTTGTTGAAATATGTATACATTGGAATAACTTACAATTTTGTTCAATTAATGAATCGAGCAATCACAATGATGACGACCCGCAAAAGTTGTGTGAGTCGCCGGGACACAGTCACGGTCCCTATGCATGTGGCTGGGGTGAATCGGAATGCCGACAGTAAATCCCCGATCAAATTGATTACCAACAAAAAAAACATAACAGCTCACTTGTTATTTAGTATCGATATTTATTCACTTTGAACTCCTATAAATACCGATAAATACGCATGTAACTGGAACTGATAGCAAAAAGTAAAAAA